AAGAAGTCATATGCTTAAATGCTGTTAGCTTGAGCTTGCACGTCTCTTTTTCTTCTTTAGTGGGTGAAGAAACAAATGGCCTTTGGCCGTCACCAATGGCAATGGAATCTTTAGCATATTCTTTTTTTTTAACCATATTATAATAATTCTTACAATATTAAGGAGAAAAAGAGGAAGAAGAATTCAATACTTGAACATTCAACTTGGATAATATTCCCATAAAAGTCCGTGACAAGCCACTAGACCAACGAACCTTTACCATAGTTGTTGTTAATTTAGTGTTGGATGATTTGATTTTTATCCAAGTCAAATAAGTCGTTTTCCTTTCCCTTTGCTCTCAAGATATTTTGAAATAACTTTTCTTGTGTTATATATGAATCTATGGATAATTATTTTTTTTAGTGATATTAAGGTCTAGTTCTATATTAATTGATATATTTAAAAAAATTAATTTTTTAAGCATTAAACTCAAATAATATATTAAATTTGAGAAAAAAAATTTTTAAAAAAAAAGAAAAGAAAAGAAAATAGTAAATAACTTAAGTAATTCAATAATAATTTTTTTTATTAAAAATAAAAGTATTAAATTTGAATCATATAATATATGTATAAAGTGAAATAAAAGACAAAAACTAATTATTTTTTATTGTATAAATAAAATATTAAAAAAAAAAAGAGGAATGGGCAGATGTGATATCCTTTCATTCTTTTTCATTTCTCTCTCCTCTTCTTTCTTCATTTGGATAAATGAAAAAAATTAAAAATTAAAAATAAAGTAAATGGCCTCATTTCTCTCTAAATTTTTGCAAATTAAATAAAAAAATTTTGACTTCTTCTCTTCGTTCAAACTAAATACACTATTATAATTTTAGTTAAATGAGTCTTACAATATATGGAATTGGAACTTAGACATTATAATTTACAATCTATCTTAGTTTTGCTAGTGCACCAGAGGCTTTATTGACAATTAAAGTTTTAAATTCAAATATAAAGAAAACCACAATCATATTTGACAGTAAATCAATGGTAAAGCTCTAACAAGAGAGATGTAGTTTTGAACCGGACTTTTGGCTCAATGATTGATTGGATGAGGTGGTCGGAGTTTCGAGTTTCATTACCGTCGTGAACTCCACAAAAAAGTAACCTGATGGCTGCACTTCTCATTTGAGGGATGAAATGTTTACCCGATCTGAGAGTCAGTTGCTAACAATTAACTTACATTAACTTCCTAACCATTACTTTTGTCAAAAAAAAAAAAAAAAAAAGAGATGTAGTTTTAGGTTGGACGCTTACTAAACAGTGTAAAGATTCTTAGTGGAACCTAAAGGTTAAAAGAAAAAACAATTTAGTAAACTTAAAAATGAAAGTGGGGAATCAAGGATACTGTTTTAATGATGTGGCGGGATTGTGCTAGAAGAGGAAAAGATTCGTGTCTATCTAATTAGGGCAGCCAAGTCAATTTGATCTTTGTCTAATAATAAAGTAATAATATTCTTAGATTATTCCATATGCCATCGTAACCATCCAATCAAAACGCAAATCTACTTGGATTTTAGAGCTAATTAATAAGAAATGTCTTGGCGATTAAGTTAACAATTTCATAATCATATGACCAAGTCCTTAATTATTAGCCAACCACGTTTCGTGGCCTAGTGGTAAGTGTTTAATGGTATAGTATTTTAGTCCTAACTTTGAGTTTCACCATTAATATTAATCCCCAATCCCTTAAATATGTTCTTGTAATATAATTGTTTTATTCAAAAAGCCCTTAATTATTAAAAGTATAGATCCCTACATATTGTCTGCTTAGTGACAGGATATAAGCAAAAGAATGGCCAAGTAATTAGGCTATCCACAGTTTCACCTGATCCTTCTTTTTGGAATCCGGCGGCCGGACCAAGTACATTCCATCTTTGATCATTGTGATTTTTATTTTATTTTTTTTTCTTTTTAGTTTTCTTTGATCATTGTTGCATTGCTTCTTCCTGCCATCTTTGGCTTGGTTTTTTTTTTTTTTAAACAAAAGCAATCGTTAGTAAATTAGTATTATTAGATATTAATAACTAAGGATTCGATTCTCAGATCTAATAAATAGTACACCGATCTCAATAAGACACGAAACCATCAAGTCGCTTTGGTGGAGTTCATTTTTGGCTTGGTTTGGTATGACTGCGTCAAGTCAAGAAGAGGCCAAGGACTGGCTAGACTGCCCCCCATGTGTGTATGTTTTTTTTTCTATTATTCAGTTGCTGTCGAATTTGACCATGTTGAATTGACTAAATGTTGAATGAACAGGGGTATTCTAGTGATTTAACAACCATTTGATTTAGGGCCCAAAAGAGATTCTTGGGTACTGTACTTTTCATTCTATTTCATGACGATTTCACATTTGTTCCCATCTCTTTTTTTGGGAGGAGAGGTGAGAGGATAGGGCCCCTAACACGTTTCTTCTTCCATTATTCCTTTCCTTTGAACCCCATTGCCTTTTAGCTAGTCAAGAAGGACTTCCAGTCCTTCAAAATCCCAAAAAATAAAAAAAAGTGTAAGTATAGTTATAACGATATAATTTAAATTATTAAATAAAAATAAAGTTTTTTAAGATTAGATATAAAATTTTAATTAATAATTTCTTTTTTTCTTTTTTTGGAATAAAAAACACCCCATCTTATAAAATAAAAAACTCTTTTAGTATTAAACCAAAATCTTGTCTTATAATTTCTCCCTTAGAAAAGTCAAAAGAAAATGGGAAGATCTTGCTTACAACACTAA